GCCGGTAAGCCACGAGCCACGTGGCAAGGTATAGATTTATGGAAATGGGTTAATTTAAGCTGTAAGAACAGTTAGCAAGAAGCCTGCCACGGCCATACAGTTTGTAAGCAATATAAGTCTCTGTGTTTACTTGGTTGGGTCTGAGCGGCTGTGGGACTGGCGGGTGACAAAGATTTGTCCTGACTGTGGGCAAGGCAGGAAAACTCTAGCTATAGCATACCCTGAAATTGTGAGTGTGAGTTTATGCGTGAGTGTGTGTGTGTGTGTGTGTGTGTGTGTGTGTGTGTTGTGAGCATGGTATCCTTCTTGTGCCCATTTTCCAGCTGAGTAGACTGAGTCATAGAGAAGGGGGTAGCATGATGAGCCGCAGGTTGTATAAGACAGGCTCCCAAGCAGACCCTCAAACTCAGGCTATCTGCCGTGTATCTATCTATGGTTCCTCTCTCCATTTCTCCTGGGCCCAAGCACTTCAGGGTGGTGTTGGGAGCTCAGTCAGTGCATCACAGAAGGAATTGGGCATGCAGAGCTATGCTGACACTCAGGATGTGTGGCCACAGCCACAGGCCAAGAGCAAGGACACATTTTAAATCCAAACAATGGCTTCTTCTCCATCATCATCTGCACCTGTAGTGGAATGGACTCATTCCACTCCCTGGCCTATAGCAACTGGGTGGGGACCAAAGCTTGCTTTGAAAAATGGAGGCTGAGGGAGATTGTGTTACTGGCTTGCTGTGTAACTCTGAGACCATTACTTACCCTCTCTAGGCACTCCTATGAAGAGGACGAGGTGGAGGTGGCTCCTCCCACTACAGTTATAGTCAATCTTGCTGTGATGCCTGCTCCTCCATGCTAGACTACACCCTCAAACCACAATAAAACCAGCCACTGGAAAGGCAGCTCATGTCTCAATTAAAAATGTTGAAAAATGATGGGCTGGAGAGATGGCTCAGCAGTTGAGAACATTTGTTACTCTTGTGGAGGACCCAAGTTCAGTTTTATGAACCTGCATGGTAGCTATCAACCACCTGCAGCTTCAGGTCTAGGTGATTCCATGTCCTCTTCTAGCCTCTGAGGGCACCAGGCACACACAGACATGCCCGCAAACACTTACACACATTAAAATTGCAAAACCTTGTGTTAGTCTAAACAGATTAAAAGTGATTCACCCCAAATATTGGAATATTATACAGTCATTTCAAAATTCAAGATCTTAGCGAATGGGAAAATGTTAACAGTGTACTGACACACTCCTAAGCATTAAAACTCCTAAGGGACAAAAACTGCACACACAGCATCACTCACGGGGAAGGTTGTGTTAAATAAAAGGTGTGTAGAAGAAATTCGCAGTAACAAAATTCACGCTGCCAGTTCTTGCAAATCTACTGTGCACCAGGCAGAGTGAAAAAGCCCGCTGAAGCTTGTCACAGCAGAGAGCATGTGGCCTGGTTAACTGGCCACACTGAGCTGAGAGGTCCTCAGACTCCACAAGTGACCTTCCAGGCCCCCATACTCTTCTCATAAAAAGGGACAGGTGACACTACCACCCGGAGAGCCATCCAGTCCCTTAGTGTTTCCCCCAAGAAACGCCTGCACACATGCCCAGGTCACACGCACAGGATGGTCCCAGCAATATTACTTGTTGTAGTAACACTGGCAGCAGCAACCTGAATGTCTGACAATGGGTGAGGGGGGAAAAAATGTCCCGCCGTCGCTGGCTAGCATGACTCCACTACAGCTAGCAGGAATAAATCAGGCCTCAAGTCCTCATCCCTGTTAGATCCCAGTTGGATGATCAGTAGGGAGAAGACAAGTTGCAGAAGAGCCTCATAGTTAGATCAGCACTCATGTCGAGTAGTTCCTCTACACTCCCAATCAGAGGGTTAGCTTTGCACAGTTTCGGGCCCAGGGTTAACCACAACCTGAAACTATTGCATGGGAAATTCCAGAAATAAGCAACCCTCAGTTTTTAGCTGCATGTCCTTCTGAGTAGAGTGATGAAATCTCACAGTCTATCCCTGTCCTCCCCAAGATGGAACCATCCTGTTATCCAACGGATCCATGCTACATGCACTGCCGACTCGGAAGTTACTACGCTTGTGTTCAAGCAACGCTCATTGTTTAAATCATAGCCCCAGCCAGGCACAGGAGCAGTGATGCTGTCAATTCCGAGTTGCCAAAGAAAAGCTTTCCTATGTCTGCAAAAGATACATGTGAAGCTCAGTGTGGCCTGCCATTCAGGCATCTGCTGGGGTCTTGGAAAGCATCTCTCCTCGATCAAGGTGAACGGCTATAGATTGCTTTGTTTTGTTACAGACAAAGTCTCATAGCCCAGGCTGGCCCCAAACTCTTGCTATATAACCGAAGACAACCTTGAATGCCTGCTCCTCCTGCCTCTTCTCCCAAGTTCTGGGATCGCAGCTGTGCACTGCTACACCCAGCTCTGCTGTAATCTTTACAGCACAGGGGACATGTTTGTGTACTGCTTATCACGGCGCAGACAGGAAGGACTCGTTTTCGACATTGGGGTCTCCTATAGAGGGAGAAAGAAGACTGAAAGGGATTCCAGGCAGGGGACTTGGATTTTATCCATTACACTTAGCCATTTTATTCTTTTAAAATTCTAAGGCAAACATGCCCATGCACCTCCATGAGTTAATTCTGGGTGGCATGTTCCTGGGACACGGGATATGCATTCTTTAAACAGCACCCTTCCTCCTCCAGACAAGGAGGGCAGTGAGAAGGCCACTAGATAGTAAGCGCTGTCTTGTGAGGCCTCTCTGGGTCAGGGCTAGGCTTGGCCAGCATTCTCAAAGTGGGATTCCTGGGCAGCATCAGCAGCCCTGAGATTGCCAATCCTCAGTATCTTGCCCCAGACCTTCCTCTGGGGGTTGCCTTAGCAATGTGCATTTTAACTCACTTTCCTGGTGATGCTGGTGTGAGACTCTCAGGGCTGGATGGGAACAGTGGAAAGTATACTTGATAATCAGTGCTCCAAGGGCCTTTCCTCCAGTTCTCTCTCTCTCTCTCTCTCTCTCTCTCTCTCTCTCTCTCTCTCTCTCTCTCTCTCAGATTTAGCATGTGTATGTGTCACAGCACATGTGTGCTAGTGCCCACAAGGCCAAAAGAAGGCGTGGGATTCCATGCAGCTGGAGTTACAGGCAGCTGGGAGGCGTTTGTTGGCTGTTGTGGTTGGTGAGAGCCCAGCTAGAGTCCTCTGGAAGAGGAGTGTGTGCTCTGGACCACAGAGCCACCTCCCAGCCCCTTGCCTTCAGTTCTCAGTTTCGTCTTCAAAAGCGAGGGGGCATCCCCAACCCTGAATTTGAAACGCTCTAAAATCTGAGACACTTTGAGTACTGACAGGATAATCCAAGGGGAAAGTCTATACCTGATCTGAAGCTATGAGTTGACATAAAAATGTAGACGCTATTAGAAGGTCACATCTACCTTTTTATGTCAACTCATAGCCTCAGATCAGGTATAGAAATGTGACATTGCTGGGCGGTGGTGGCGCACGCCTTTAATCGCAGCACTCGGGAGGTAGAGGCAGGCGGATCTCTGTGAGTTCGAGGCCAGCCTGGCCTACAGAGCGAGATCCAGGAAAGGCGCAAAACTACACAGAGAAACCCTGTCTGGAAAAACCAAAAAAGAAAAGAAATGTGACATTAGTTACTTCTGAGCAATGAATATACGATCTGTAAAAGTCATGGGCTGGGGAGATAGCTCAGCTGGTAAAGTCAGTGCCCTGCAAACAGGGGGAACGGAGTTATACCCCGAGAATCCATGGGGAAAAAAGCGAACTGGGATTTGTGCTAATCCCAGTGTTAGGGAGGTGGAAACAGGCGGACTCTGGGGACTCACTAGCCAGTCAGCCCCACCTACCCAGCAAGCCCCAGGCCAATGAGAGACCCTGTCTCCAAAACTAACATGGATTTTGCTCAAAGAACAAAACAGAGGTTGTCCTCTGACCTCCATATGTGAATGAACACCCAACCACACACTAAATTGTACACACACACACACACACACACACACACACACACACTGAAGTATGTATAACATATACAAATTTCCTTTATAGACTTAGGTTCCATCCCCCAGATGCCTCCCTCTGCACTTAATATCCAGAATTCTGCCATAATCTGAAATCCTAAACACCTCTGATCCTAAGCAGTTTGAATAGGGGACATTCAACCTACCTTATTACCATTCCCATCCGGCAGCTATGGAAACAGAGGCACAGAAAAGCCAAACTCCCCACCCAGTATCATGCAGACCTGCTTCTCTCCCTGGACCACTCAGCTTCCACGGGAGACTTAAAATAGCCCATTTTACAGAGGAGGAAACTGGAATCCAGAGAGCAGCTAGTGACCTGCCCAGGGTCTCACAAGCAGGAGATTGCGGTAGATTATGGTCCTCGTGTAAGAGGTTCTGGAGTTTGATGTAGACCTGTTAGGGGTCAACCAGGAGGGCAGGGGAAGCCAGAAGAGCAGGGGAAGAGGGGACTCAGACTTACAGCTGCAGCCGGGCCTGGGTGTGGTGGGCATGGGCATGTCTTGCCCCAGCTGCTCATTTAGCCCTGCCCGCTGACTACCCTGCGTGACCTACCACACACCCACCCCCACTGGGAACTGAACGGGCATTTCCCGCCCCTCCTGCTTCTTCTTCTTCTTGGTGTGTGTGTGTGTGTGTGTATGTGTGTGTGTGTGTGTGTGCAGAAGGGGAACCTGGTCTGTCAGAGAAGCGTCAGCTCAGCATTGTCACTCCCCTGCCTGAGCTTCCTCTATCTAGGGTTATCCCATGGTCGCCTTGGGCCGCGGCAATTCGCCTCACCTGGCTACCTGGGCAACCCCACCAGATAGACGGCGCATCTCACCACCAATCGGTTGCTCCTGGGACTGTCCCTTCTCTCCTCGCCGCCCGGGCAGCTCGCCCCGGGACCCCAGCTTCCTGGCGCTCAAGGTCCGCGGGTTCTCGGAGTCCCATCCCACACCCTCACTCACCTGGGCGCCCGCCCCTCGCCTCGCGGGCAGCCCGGATCCTCGCAGCTCGAACGACCCCCCAGCTCCGCGGTCCCTGGCGGCCCTGGAATCGCAAGCCTGGAGCAAACGACGAAGTCTTGAGGACTGCGGAGGCTGCGACGGCTCTCCGAGGGGCTCGGAGCCGCTCGTTCCGACGACTCTGCTTCCCTCCCACCCGTCTGAGAGCCACCGAGGTGAGCACAGGCTGGAAGCCGAGACCCTATGGCGCTCACTGGCCATCTGGGAGCCTTAGCCGCGCCCTGGGCGATGCAAACCCCGCCCCCAAATGACCAGACTCCGCCCCCTAAGAGCCTAACCCTACTCCCGCCCTCCTGTCGTCCCCAGCTCTTAATCCACCTCCAAAGAATTTCAACATTTCCTTGCTAACTCTGTCCTCAAGGATCCTAACCAGTCCCTGAAGGAGTGAACCAGACCCCAAAGTTTGATCTATTCTCCAAAGATTCCCAGTCCCCCAACTAATGCACTTAAACCCCGCCTCACCGTCTGAATCGGTGCAAATGATTCTAAGCCCCCTCCCTCAGGGATTCAGACTCCCCATCCAAGAGACCTAATACCCAAAGACTCATGCGGCCCCTAAAGGATTTTATTGTTTTACATTCATTGATTGACTACATGTACGTGTATAAGTACGTTAGTGCTTCAGCGTGGTGTGATGGGATTGAATTCGGGTAGCCAGGTTTGGCAGAAGGAGCCTTTACAAGCTAAACCTTCCTCCTCCTTTTCCCGCAAAGTATTTTTAAACTCACTTTCTGTTCTGCCCCCAAGGATTCTAATCCATCCAAGTGAAGGGTCCCAATCCTTGCTCTCTAGATTTGTGATCCAACCTTCTGAAAGGATTTTAATCTTGAGTGTGCGTGTGCGTGTGTGTGTGTGTGTGTGTGTGTGTGTGTGTGTGTGTGTGTGTGCTGTAGAGGATGGAATCAGTGATGTGGAGTAGTTTTATTGGAAGATCTGTGTTTCCAAGAAGGGCTACCTGCAGTTAATTTCCACCCAAGAAGCAGAATTAGAATCAGCTTA